CGCCCACCACCACTGAAGTCCGACCCAGCGTGGAGAAACCAAAGCAAGTATTGCAGGTTTCACGGCGAGACTGGGCATACGACTGCCGAATGTTTTGACATGAGGGATGAGGTCGAGAGGTTGATCCGGGAAGGGAGGCTCCATGAATACCGGGCTGACTGTTGGGGCAACAACAATCAGCGGAATAATGACCGACGGGAGGAATAAAGGCATGATAATCCGCCTGAACCCGTTGGCGTTATAAGAATGATCTTTGGAGGGCCATACATCGACGGTACCTCTCACCACGCACAGAAGGAGTAGCGAGAGAGGCAAAGGAAAAGTTCAACCGGAGGGTCATGAATGTCTCCGGTAGAGAAGTAAAGGCCGTGAGATATGAGGAGGCCGAGATAACGTTCTCAGAAGCTGATGCAAACGGGGTGCACTTCCCTCAAAATGATGTTTTAGTCGTGAAAGCCATGATCGGTAACCAAACGGTTTACCGCAACCTGGTCGACAACGGTAGCTCGATAGACATTCTATACCCAGACTGCCTCGACAAGATGAGAATCCCCTGAGCGAGACTGCAGAATAGTACTTAGCCCCTATACGGCTTCACCGGGGATAGTGTCATCCCTGAGGGGACGATAGAACTGCCAATGACAATTGGCGATCGATCACACACCTCGACCGTCATGTCAAAATTCTTTGTGGTGAAGGGAGGTGACTAATAGAACACGGTCATAGGGCATCCAACGCTGAGAGCATTGAAGGCGATCACGTCGATCTATCATCAAATGATGAAATTTTCAACCCCCAACAAGATTGGAAAAGTCAGAGGAAATCAGTCTGAGTCAAGGATCACATACTCAGAGACGGACCGCCATTACGCTGAGCCGATGCAGGCAAGAAGAGAGATGAGCATGGTGGAGACCAAGGCAGAGGAGTTCGATCTAGATCCAAGGCTCTCGGGTGAAGTGACATGAATGGGACTGGTCGAAGAATTGATCGAGGTCCCCATTGATGAAATAGAGCCGACCAGAAAGCTGAGAGTGGGCTCAGAACTTAAAAAGTAGAGCCGGGAAGGACTGATAGAATTCTTCAGAAGCAACCTCGACGTGTTTGCTTGGACTCATAAAGACATGGAAGGGATAAACCCTGACATAATATGCCACATGCTAAACATCGACGAGAAATGTCCTCCCAAGAGGCAAAAGCGTCGACCAATGAATGCCGAAAGGTATGAAGCTCTACGGGAGGAGGTCGACAAGTTAATAAGAAACGACTTCATTCGATGCCGAGAGGTATGAGGCTCTACGGGAAGAGGTCGACAAATTGATAAGGAATGACTTCATCCGGGAAGCCCTGTACCAAGTGGGTTTCAAACCCCGTATTGGTGCGAAAGCCCAGCGGAAAATGGCGGACCTGTGTCGACTTTAGCGACCTAAATAAAGCTTGTCCTAAGGACAGCTTTCCGCTACCAAGAATAGATCAGTTGGTCGACGCCACAGCGGAGCATGAACTCTTGAGCTTCATGGACGCATACTATGGCTACAACCAGATACCAATGTTCCACTGCGATGAAGAAAACATATCGTTCGTCACCGACAAGGGCCTTTATTGCTACAAAGTCATGTCCTTTGACCTCAAAAATGCTAGAGCAACCTATCAATGCCTTGTCAATAGGATGTTCGTAGAACAGATAAGAAAGTCAATGGAGGTATATGTGGACGATATGCTGGTAAAGAGCAGGAAATCTGAGGACCATGCAAAGTACCTTAAGAGATTTTTTGATGTCTTACGGATGTACAGAATGAAGCTAAATCCCCTCAAGTGTGCGTTCGGGGTCAGGTCGGGAAAATTCTTAGGCTTTCTGGTGAGTAGTCGAAGAATCAGGACCAATCCGGAAAAGATACAGGCACTCCTCGACATGAGGTTACCAAGGAAACCGAGAGAGGTTCAGAAGTTAACGGGCTGTGTAGCCGCACTCAACAGATTCATCTCAAAATCCACAGATACGTGCATACCGTTTTTCGATACCCTGAGAGGAAGCAAGTCATTTCAATGGACAAAGGAGTGTGAACATGCATTCCGACAATTGAAGGAACACCTTGGAAAACCACCCCTACTGTCCAAGCCTACGGCCGGAGAAGTGCTGAGCCTGTATCTGGCGGTCTCGAAACACGCCGTTAGTTCAATGTTGATCCGCAAAGAGAAGAAGATGCAGCTGCCAGTGTATTACACTAGCAAGCGTCTCCTCGACACAGAGACGAGATATCTGTAGATGGAAAAGCTCGCCCTCGCGCTAGTGGTGACATCGAGAAAGTTGCACCACTATTTACAGGCTCATAGCATTTAGGTCTTGACAAACTATCGTCTTAGGCAAGTACTACAAATGCCCGACGTTTCTGGAAGACTCCTTAAATCGTCCATAGAGCTCGAGAAGCCAAAAATTTCCTACCGCCACTAATACACCTTCAAGGGTTGGGGATGGATCCGATCGAGAACTCGAACCGCTTAACTAATTAACCCTTTCATACTCGATCAATAGGATCGGAGATGGATATAACCAATCAGATTGTGCAAATCGCCTCATTATTCAACCATGGTTGAAGATGTGGCTTAAGTATCTGGAAAGGTACGTTGATGTTAGCGTAAATTACAAGATTTCGCTCCCGAGCAGTTGGTTACACTTCTTGTTCTATAATGTCTAGAACAATATATAGTTATATTATAAGTATGTATGTATTTATGTATGAGTACTGTAATATTGGGGATATTCTTGTGACCAGCCAGAGGGCACATAAGTACAACAACCATGTATAGGTGAAGAATGCCGCTTCAAAGTTGAGTATATCTTCATTTTTAATTTGGGGTTATTAATTTGTAGTTAACTATATCCGTAACCAGAATTATTGTTAAAGGTAAAAATGTCCGAATTTCACATCGTCTAAATATAAATATAATCATAGTCATATAAAGATATTCAGTCATCTCACTTAATTAAACATGTTAATCTTTTAAGATGGAAACTCAATTAATACCTTATAAAGTGCAATTTTTATCCCTCACTTTTCTTCTTATCTCTCCTAAACACTCTAATGATTATATGATTAATAAAATTCAACATCAGAGCATTAGAAAAATAACCTAAAAATGAGATCAGTACACCCAACATCTGTTTTATGCATTGTCTCCACATATATTTAACCTTGACTCTACTCTGTTGCTTGTCTAATATATACGAAGTAGCATATGAATGTGATCTTTGTAGAATCTAATAATTAATCAGAGATTAATATATTTTTATGTTTTATGAGTTTGACGATTTCACCCGTGACACCAAGACACATCTAGCCCGTGAATCATCGTAGCTGCCACCAAGACACAACAGCTCGTCAAGAAGCCAAAATAGTCATCAGAACTGACAAATCTAGTGATGACTTATTGGCATCAAGCAGCCAATAAGTCAGTCATCCCAATAAAGTCATCGACTTCAAAGTGCTAATTCGTCTTTGGAGTAGCTATTCAAATAAATTGCAGGTCATTTAATTCGCTGATTTGAGTTTTTAATTTGAGTTAAGATATGATTTTATGTGAGAGTTTTTTATTGTAGTAAAAAAATTAGATGTGACTGTTTTTGAGAACTTTTTACTGTAGCAAAACTCAAATCGGTGAAATGAACGGGGCCTATAACTAAACTTTTAAATTACTAAACATTTGGTTTATAGATTCAAAATCATGATTCAGAATTATTCTCGATTTATGTGTATTTTTTTATGAAAAAAAATACTGTAATGAGTTACGAACTATGATCTGAATTATAACACGAAACCATCAACTAAATGCACGTTTAGGAATGGCAAACTTCATTCCAATGAGAAAATTTAAAAAGTAAACAAATAAATAAAGGAGAAGATAATTGTAATCGTAAACATTTTTTTTCATCCTGAGTAAATATTTTATAGAAAGTACAAAGAGAAAATATGTGTTATTTCATTAACAAGGACTAGCAATTAGACCACTGGACCTATTAGAAATAAAAAAACATGCAATGTTTTTTTTTTTTTGTTTTTTTTTTAATTTCTCTTGTATTTTTTTAAAATACTAATATTTATTATTTATCAACCGTTAAATTTGTATTATATTTTTAACCTAATTTAATAAATATATAACGATTAATAAATAGAAAAAACAATATTTTAAAAAAAGAAAAAATACAAGAGGAAGTCTTTTTTTTTTTTTAAATCTAATACCCACAACAACTCAGAGCAATATGCTAGAATGACTATCTAACAAAGTGAAATTAGCAAAATGACCTTCTTCATTTTTTATGAAGAACCACCACCTAATCATTCTTTGTAAAAAGTGATCATTTTATAAATAAAAATTTTTAACAAGTTATTTTACTAATAAAACTTTTCTATTGAGTTATTTTTACAAAGCCCTCTTTATGAAGGGTACAGAAGTATGAAACTATTAAACAAAGAACAATCATTTCTCTTATATGCATATCTGCTAGTCCATCATCTTAAGCTCCTTTCAGTTTGTCAATTTAAATTTTTAATTCGAATTAAAATATGATTATATATGAGAATTTTTAAGTGTAATAAAAAAATTAAATATGATTATTTTTAAAAATTTATGTAACTATTTTTATGAATTTATATGAATTTTTAACAGTAATAAAATTAAAATTAATAAAATAAACAATTTGTTAGCATGATGAAGAGTAGAGGAAATATGACAGAGGCTCTACTAGTCAACTTAACGTACCAAATGCTGAAATTTCAAAAAGGAGAGATAAAACATATAGAAATGTAATTTGTCCAAAAAGGACCACATTGGACCAGTATACCTAACAGAAGCCAAGTCAGTCAAGTCTAAAATTTGGCTTGTTTGAAAAAGAAACATGCAGTGAAATTCAAACATCTTGTCCACACTGCAGCTATCAACTGTTATCTGTTGACATAAGTAAGAAGCTGATTGGATATTCTTGCAAAGCCTTTTCTACACCACTCATTCAGCTATTTCTTTTTCCACGCCAATATCTGTTACTTGATCATCTTGAGCCAAGTAATTGTATGATTTGTTAGCTTTGATTGTAAAGGGAGAAAAAATGGCAGAGGTTATAGCTCTGGTGACCCCGGTTATGGACGTGTTGCTTCAGCTGCTAATGAAAGAAGCAAACTCCTTCAAGCGCCTCCGTAAAGAAGTGAAGAGCCTAAAAGACGAATTGGAGTGTGTCCAGTGTTTTCTCAAAGATGCCGAGGAAAGGTCGGAGAAGGAAGACATGAGAGATGGCGTAAAAGTGTGGTTGAAACAAGTAAGGGAAGAAGCTTTCCACATAGAAGATGTCATTGATTTATACATCCTATATGTGGCACAACACTGTCACTCGCGTGGATTCGTAGGGTTGCTCCGAAGAACAGCTCGCATGCTTAAAGCCTTGAAGCCACGTTATAACTTCATTTCTGAAATCAAGGAGATCAAAGCATCGCTACGTGAAATCAAAGATAGAGGTGAACGGTATGGCTTCAATTCATCGGCCCCAGAATCAAGTAATAGGGTAACTGAACTTGAGCACTGCGGAATTCGGTTGGGTTCCTTGTTCATTGGGGATGATGAATTTTTGGACCTTCATTCCACTCGTGATGAACTGATGACAAGGTTGGTAGAAGGAGCGTCGACTCGAACGGTGATTTCATTGTTAGGCATGGGCGGAATTGGTAAAACTACTCTTGCTAGGAAAGCCTACGATGCCAAAGTCGTTAAAGCGCATTTTGATTGCTGTGCTTGGATTACCGTGTCTCAATCATATAACTTGGAGAAGCTCCTAGGAACAATGGCTGAGCACCTCTGTCCAGAATTTAAAATCGACGCAATTGAAGAGCTAATTGGTCGCCTCAGAAATTTTTTGGAGACAAAGAGGTATCTTATTGTTTTTGATGATGTTTGGCAAGTAGATTTTTGGGGAGTTATAAAACATGCTTTGCCTAGTAATGGTAGAGGTAGTAGGATAATTGTCACAACACGTAATGATATGGTAACAGCTGATTGTCAGGAGGACTCTTGTCATCTTGTCAAAAAGTTGTCGCCATTGTCTCATGAAATAGCTTGGCAACTATTTTGCAAAAAGGCATTCCGTTTTAAACTTGAGGGACATTGCCCCCAAGAGTTAGAGACCTTATCTCTTGAAATTGTGAGAAAATGCCAAGGTTTGCCTCTTGTGATTTCATCAGTAGCCGGTTTGTTGTCAACTAAGGAAAAAAATGTGTCCGAATGGCAAAAACTGAATGACACTCTTAATAGTCAGTTCCAAACAAATCCACACCTTCCAAGCATTTCAAAAATCCTCTCTCTTAGTTATAAAAACCTTCCTTCCTATCTTAAACCTTGCTTCTTATATTTTGGCATATTTCCTCAAGGCCGTTCAATTACGAAGATAACATTGTATAGATATTGGATTGCTGAGGGTTTTATTAAAGAAAAGGGAGATAAGACATTGGAACAAGTTGCTGAAGAGTATCTAAATGAACTCATCCAAAGAAACTTGGTTCAAATACAAGGTTTTCTTTGGGGCGGTGGATTAGATAGGTTGTGTCAAGTACATGATTTAATGCGGGACATAATTCTATCAAAAGCAGATGAAATGAATTTCTATCAAATTGTTGGTGGAAAAATGTCCATTGTTCGAGGAAAGTGTCGTCGCATATCTATCTACAATTGTGAAAACGATTGCATGAAGGTGAATGAAGTCTCGGGAGTTCGTTCGATTTTACTTTTCAATATTGATGGTCGACCAACAAACTTTCACATGGATAGTTGGTTTGAAAAATGCAAGCTTCTAAAGGTGTTAAATCTTACAGACATTCCTATCGAACACCTCCCCAAAGGATTAGGGTACTTGTTCCACCTAAAGTCCTTAACCTTGAGGAATACAAAGGTGAAGAGACTTCCAACGTCCATCGGTAAACTCCAAAATCTACAGGTATTGGATCTCATGAATACCGCAGTGCGAGAGCTCCCAATCGAGATCAATAAGCTTCACAATCTACGACACATTTACGGATTTTATTATAAACACACAATCGGATTTTGTTTTGAGGAATTCCAAGGCCTCAGGATGCATGAAGGAATTGGTTGTTTGGGGGAGTTACAGACACTTGAGTATCTTGAAGTAAGCAATGACAGAACTGGCATCATTACAGAGCTGGAAGGACTGAGGCAATTGAGAAATTTAGGCATTTACAAATTGACAGCGGAACTTGGAGCTACCCTCTGCGCCTCTATTGTGAAAATGAATCATCTTGAATGCTTATCTTTGGTGTCGAATTCTGAAGCTGAGATTCTAGATTTACAGGCGATTTCATCACCGCCTCTTTCTCTAAGGATTCTTAGCTTCGTAGGCAGATTGTCAAAAATTTCGAACTGGATTTTGAAACTTTCCAATCTACGTACACTGACATTCTCATTCTCAAGCTTAAGTGATGATCCTTTGAAACGCCTCCAAAGTTTGCCTAATCTTGAGTATCTTTATCTCTACAAGGCCTATGATGGAGAGGAAATTCACATTGAGGAAGGTGGATTTCAGAAGCTGAAATTGCTTGAACTATGTGACTTGAACGAAGTAAGAGTGATCAAAATAGGCAGAGGATCATTGCCTCTTCTTGAAGAGCTAAGGATTGGAGCTCTTCCGCAACTGAAGGAAGCGCCGTCCAACATTCAACACTTGAGAAACCTCAGAGTTGTCGAAGTTTCTGAGATGCCGATGGAATTCGTGCTTGCTATGCAACCAGATGGAGACCAGTGTTGCTGGAAAGTTAAGCATGTACCAAATGTTTGGTCATATTATAAATTTGGAAGAGATAGGTTTGATGCCTTATAGGTTTGTGTTTTAGACTTAATTGTCTTTGTAGTTTTATGGTTCTTGTACTAAACTTTCTACTACGTTTTGGCATAGTTTAGTTTTGAATCTTCACCTTCATCTACTTCATTTATGTAGTTGAGTAATGCTGTTTCCTTTAGCAGGGTATTATTATAATTTTTTTATTACTTACATTGAATTTTTTTCGTTTGTTTAATTATTAATGATGTTTTATTTTCTTTTTTCTAAAATAGTCGTTCAAGTAAGAAGGAACTAAATAATATTCTGCTGACATATACCAAATATATAAAGCAGTGGCATTTAACATGCTTCTCGCTTAGACTTGGTGCCATATTTGAAATAAATTGTTTTTTAGTCCATTTATTTATTTACTTATTTTTCTGATGATGCTTTTCACATCACATCACCCTTAGTAAACAACTAAAATGTGGCGGACGTCAAATTCTAAGTATGCGTTTTCTAAGTCTTTTTTTTTTTCCCCTTTTCTATTACTTTGGTAAAAATAAAGATTTGTCCATTTTTTTCTAGTCTTATTCCATTTTATGTATTCATGAACTTAAGTTGCAACCTCATATTTAGGAGATATGATTTCATGTTAAGTGAACAGAAGAAGACCACAAATAAACTAATTTGTAAAAACAAAAACTCATTTGACTTCCAATGGGAGGAAGGAGGTATTTATCTCACAAAAGAAATCAACCTAGTTAATTTATGTATTTAACAATAATAGAGTCAAAAGTAAACGCTATAGCTTTCCAACTTTATAATTAATTACTTAATTCTCTTCAGAATAAATTCCAAATCTAAACCTGCTCTCTTAGTTAATCAAAAAGTAAAAAGAAAATTGATAACAAATTCTGTCATTGTCATAGTGAGAACTGTAATCGATAAGTTGGTTCAACTGCATTTCGAAGAGGCGGAGTTGGTCAAAGATGAAGAGGCTAACGGATGAATTGGAGACTATTCAGTGCTTCCTGAAAGAGGCGGAGGAGAAAGCAGAGATGAGAGATGACAATGTGAAAACTTGGGTGAAAAAAGTAAGAGAAGAAGGCTATGATATCGAAGATGTCATGGATGAATACCTTCTTCATGTTGCACAACACCGTCAATAACAACATGGATTTCTTTTGAAATTCAGACCTTCAAAGCATCTCTGCACAAAATCAAGTAAGGATAGAGATGAAAGATATGGCTTTAATTCATGGGAACACCAATCAAGTAGCAAGGCTACAAACATAAAGAGGAATGTCGACCCACGATTGGATCTTTATAAAATTATTTTGGATCTTTAGAAAATCTAAAATATGGAAGAACATCATAAAATAATTTGTTCGAAATTGTAACGATCGAGATGATAAGAATTAGACACCTCTCATCCTTTGCTATCTGGCGCTTTCAGTTACTACAGAATTTTACTTTAATAAATAATAAGATTACAAGAGAAATCACACCCCCCAAATTCTGAGACTATAGTTTTATCTTTCATAAACTTCAGTACCGAAAATGGCGCCTCCCAGTACAAGTATATTGGGGTAATTGAAAATACGTGGGTTAAAGTCTATAATACCCTACTAAGAATTAGGCTCGAGACAATAATTAGACTTCACACGCGCAAAAGACGAATCACTTATAACTAAAACCTTTAAAAGAAAATTTAGCATAGTACTATATAATAAATTTGACCAATATATTTGCATCTACCTCAAAAATGGTATTGAAGATGTTTTATTATTATTATTATTATTATTATTTTGAGATAAAATATGATACTAATGTCGCCTTTTGATCAAATAGCTGGCAAAGTTACTAACATTCTAGTGGAGCAGAGTGATCACAAGGTTCTGGCCACCAATTAGGATCACACGGTACGTAAGTGCGCAACCAATGTACAACTTTTCTTTCGATCTCTACCCCTGTCTCTGATTTATGCTATAACTAGAGGAAAAATATTTTTTTCGCGATAATATACAAAAGTAGTAACTAATTAGTATAACCTATCAACATCCTGCAACTTATATGTAATGACCGGAAAAAATTTAAGTCTAATCCGGACAGTCCGGTATTTGACCGAAATTCTTTCTGGAATAGTAAGTAGTAGAATTTTAATGTAATCAAGAAAATGTTATGTAAAAACTTTATGTACGGGGTAAAATTTCCCGAAAAGTGTAAAGTTATAATACAAATATTTTTACAAAAAAAATTCGTAAATATCACTTATGAATAGTGAGATATTAGTTAAAAATTAGAAATTTTAACGGGTATATTTTAGTTATGAAAAACTAAAATATTTGGTATGTGACTAAATGACCAGCTAGAAAAAGAATAGAAATATTATAAGTAAGGAAAATAGCAAAAGTTCCTGAAACAGAATTTTCCCGAGTCAGTTAAAGCGGGAAACTGCCAAAAAAATGAGTACCGTAAGGGTACGCGTTTTGGGCAATTCTGAATCAATTAAGATGAAAATTTCAGAAAAAGAAATTAACTAATGAGATACCCAAGAGCATTGGGTTGAACATGAGAAGTTTGACCCATGGTACTTGACAGTCCAGAAAAGTAGTATAGAACCTGTACTGATTGTGAAATTATTAGTACTGGAAAGAGACTCATTTTGAGAAACGGAAAGTTAGGTCTCGACAAGAAAAATTTGAGGAATATAGAACCCACTCATTTGCTAGCACGTATCTTGGATATAGCAAAGAATAAAAGTAGGTTGAACAAAGTTTTAATATATATATATATATATACTTATATATAAGCCTAGCCTCATGATCTTTTGGCCAAGATTCTCCCATTCATGTGGGGACCACAGACCTCATTGTGGGCATCTTCCCGAATCTTTTCTGCTTTTTCCTCTTTCACACATAAAAGTAGAATCCCATCGTAGGAGCTTTTATAGAGATCGCCCCCACACACAACGAATTACGGCAACTAAAAGAAAATGAATGAAGGAAGAAGGCATTAGCATTAGAAAGACTACAAAGGCATTCCGGGCCGACTACAAGACTACGACTACAATACAAGTCATGAGCGATAGCGAAGCCAAGCCGGATAGGCTTTTTTATGTCGAAAGCCCCAAAACTAGCTATCTTATAGCAGACAACTAACGCAAGCCTATGCAGAATGCCACTTGCCATTATATAAGTTTAAGTTATTTTATGAAGGGTGAATCATGACATAAGTTACCAATGTCATCTCACGTGGAAAGAAAAACTAAAACAAAGGCTATTACATACTTACGTGAAGTATAGCAGAGGAAAAAAAAAAAAGAAAGAGGGGACGTGAGAAAGTTACGAAGAAAAAAAAAAAAGAAAGAGAGTTGTTAGAGAGAGACGGAGAAGGGAAAATCAAGCATTTTCATTGAGATTTCTTCCGTTCAGTCCGGTAGACACGTAACCTGAGGCGTTCTAGTGGAAAAACCTCAACTTCTGGAGGTAAGATTTCAAAGTTTTCGTGAGAATTCTATATTTTTTTGATTTAGATGAATAGTAACCCATATCAGAAAAACTTCCGTTAAAGTGAAAATTAAAACTGAGGTTTTGTAGAGTATCGTAATAAGAGTTTAACGGAGTAAGTGTTAAGATGATTGAATAAAGTTTTGGTGGATTTCTATCGAAAATCCGTGAGCATAGATTAAGAAAGAACATATGTTTTGTTCAATTTTATGACGGAATCTGTGTTCAAGAATGTAAATCTTGACTCCAGGTACCGAAATCAGAAGTAGAACGAGTTATTAAAAACTCGGGAAACAAGAAAAATAAGGCGAAACTCTGCCAAAATTTAGTTCGAGTAATTTGAACTAAAACTAGATTTCAAGAGGAATATGGGATTGAAGTGTGAAAAGAAAAATGTTTCGATAATCGGTGATGGTTAGAAACCGAACACAACGAGAATTCACAGTTTTTGACCAAAATTGAAAATTAGGCCCATGACTGAGTAATTTGCACGATTTTAGTGCAAATCCTTGAGATAGAAAATGGTTTGAGGTTGAATACCAAACATAAGGATTGTAGACTTTTCCGAAGTAAATTTTAATGTAATTAATGATCTTAGATTCTGAATCTAACGATCGAAAACTTTATGCAATAGGGCCGATTAACGGTTGAAGTTGGAAAGCGTCAAGGGAGACAAAGGACACGTTGTTAGCGAAACTTTGGTAAGTACAATAGTTTTTCTGTGGCTATGTCACGAACAAGCTTACTTTTCTATGTTGCACAAAGATTGTGCATATAGTAGAATTGTGAATGTTAGATACTATGTTAGGTAAGTATCTACAAGACTTATGTAATCGTAGAACTTTATTCTGCAAAAAGTATGTATCGATGTTAAGTCAAGATCAAACCAAGAGAAATGAAATGTTAAACTTTAACGAAAAGTTAATCTCATGATAAAATGCTCAATAATGCACAAATTCATAAGATTTAACTAAAGTTACCGTTTTAATGAGAAAATTGATAAACGGTAAGAGACTAAATGTCCTGTTTGTACCAGCCTTCGAAGGAAAGGTTATTATGAGACTATGAAAGATATGAAACCGTGACTGAGTTAAATTGGTTAGCTACCCCACTCCTCACTAGTTATGCGCGCTATGGTACAATAGGACAGGGCCCCTAAGAAGTAAAAGACAAGAAAATGAAACACGAAAACCATTCCATATAACGGTATGGTATTCGTAAACAAGAATGAAAAGAATAAGAAACACAGAACGAAAGTCGTTTAGAATTCTGTACTAGGCTATATGACATGAATGCATATATGGGTATGCATAATTATTGCATCTGTTATGACCTATTGGTACTTGCTGAGCGAAAGCTCATTAAGTTTGTTCGTATTGTAGGAAGCACGGGTAAGGCACCGGCTCCCTGAAACTTGTTGTTGGGCATGCAGAGAGGATGCAACAGTGGAGTGGGGGCAAATGGGTTGTGGATGCATCACGTGTTTTGGAAACGCTGCTGAACATTATGTGTAAAATAAAATAGTATTTTATGTATTTTGATGACTAATGTAACAGAATGTTGTTAGAATGCTACAGCATTTTACGAATAGTTGAAAATAGAAGGCTAGCTAAATGCTACAACATTTAGACGTACATGGTAAGAATGAAAAAAATTGGCCTGAATTTTAAGAGGTTATAATTAGTAAGTGTTAGAGGTTAAGTAATGTTAAGTATGAGTATAGGATGATGATCAAAGGTTAGGGTCATCACATTATACGAATCCAAAATTCATCCTCCACTTGGAATGCCGTGCATTTGTAGCAAAAGTCTTGACTCCTGATATTTACGAGGCATTTTCTATTTCAATGTCCATTTGATAGTCTTGAGATTCACGATCCATTTTGTATTTCAAAATATATGAATTCTTAATACAATAAGAATACCCTGCTATTTGAATTTAAAATACGTATTATTTTTTTTTGAATGGATCACCTTTTCTCTTCGGTTTCTTCGGACAAAAACCAATCAAGCATACATGCCAAGTTATGCGCCGGTTCTGCATATTACGTCTGAAAATGGACTGTTTATTAACTAGGTGATCAAAATTGTGTATTTTAAAACGTTAGGATAGTTATTTCTTAATAAGGGAATACGAGATATCTTAGTTAAACAAGTGAATGTCTTAAGAATTGATAGGTAAAAGTACCCCTTTTACTTATATGATATGCCTTCTTCATTGTTGTCTTTTATCTTAGTTGTTATTATAGTTTCATTAAAAAATACAATCTCATTTTATAAATTAAAGCAAATTTTTTTAAATCGACTACTTGAGTATTTAAAATTGGTATAAAAATTAGGATTAGAGTTGGTGTCTTTAATTATGTTCTTTTTAAAAATGCCAATGTTATTATAAGAAGTGTATAGTTCTAAGTTCGCATAATAGTGAAGCACATTGTTGACAAATAGTATAATTTTACACGAATTCAAGTACCACGTGCAATGTAAACTTTTTTTTTTTTTGAGCATAGGGTTGGGAATTTAAAATTAACATCTTGTGGTGATGATGAACACACCTGCGTACAACCCCGGACATTGACTAGACCCACTAATGAAGATGGATGAAGCACATGAGTATTGAACACAAATGTCGAAGCCTAAAGGGCAAAGACCTGCTCTGAACAAATAAAATCAAGTGCAACCAAAGCTCGTTAAAAGGAACAACTATAGTTGATGGATAAAACCAGTCGAATAAGACTAAATCCCTAATACTAGAAACACTAGCTATAATGACTGAGAAAATCTTAAAATTAAATAATGTAATTTACGTATTTAGGTGAAAGATGTTCTTTGAAAATATCATGTTATATTATTGTGACTAAAAGATTTATGGAATTAATATTGATATTCCAAAATTCTATAGCAAACTTTATGTTAAGTTCACGTTTTATGATCAAGTAAATTCGAATGATAATTCTCACCGCGGATTAAGGTGGGAGAAAATTCAATCCATGAATAGCTTGAGAATTTTAACATTTGAAAATTGAGCATGTATCGTCAGTCTGTCCTTTTCTACGATAGAGTTTAGGAAAGAAGTTATGCACTATATGAACTTGGTGAGTCAGAGTTGTTGGACCGTTTACAAGCTTTAGCCACAGACGTCAATGACGTTCTACAACGTGATCTTCGATCGAGTTTCTGTTACAGTGATGATGAAGCACATACAGTGCCAGCGTCAATCTCAATTGTTCCATGCAATGACACGCAACTTAGTTTCAGCCATGATCGAATCAGTTTCTCCAGTGATCAAAGAGTAAGTGTTTATCAATCTCAATTGCTGTCTATCTAAGAGTAAGTGTTTGATACTTTTATTCTTTTCATAAATCGTATCTGTAATTTCACTATAAAAGCCTTTTTTTGGTTGATATATATTTATCTTTGATGTTATATCTCATCATCGTTTTCTATTTCATAACCTTTCATATTATAATATACTATGTTTCTAATTTATGGGAAATAATTGGTAAAATTTTCACATGTTCCATCATATTTTCTCAAGCAGAAAGAATATGTCGCAATATCAAAAACTATCATCACTTGTTATATTGCTACTTAAATTCTGTTCCTTTGATTCTTAATTTTTAAATTTTCTTTCTTCATGTCTGAACAATTTTAGAGGAAAACGTCGAAGTGGTATTAACCTAACAAGGGTTATATTGTATTAATGTTTTGGAGGATTGAAATTCTTGTTCATGTTGTTTCTTCCACTTAAAAGAATGTTCATAATGGAAAGTTTTGTTTTCGAGCAGCCTATACATCACTCAATGAGAATGCTTTGTTCTCCTTCAGCCGTTAAAGATTTAGTTCTTTTGCACCACTTTCTGGTTATATCTTGTGCTCCTCCTAACGCCTTGTCTTTATTTATTTATTTAGTTTAATTTCTTTTACCACTATATTGTAGGCCTTTATGGCTAGCAAATGCCTCAAGGATTCAAAGTCGTGGACGAAGCTGGAGTGCGCATCATAGAAGCAAACATGGTAGATCATTCTTGCTGTTCGTGGCTCTGTTTTGTTCTCCTTCTTTAATGTAATCCTAAAACCATTTTGTTGTGCAAATAAATATGCTGATGTGATGATTGTAAAATATGTAGATTATGTGTAGTCCACCGAATCCTTCTTTGGGTTTCTGGTCCTCTTTCCAACTTTTCTATAACATAACATACTTTTCGCATTGAGTCTTAATCATCAAAAAACTTTTCTATAACATACTTTTGCTTGTATTTGATGTGGTAGTTGGCTTGAAAATTATGGTTGTTTGTGACAGAACATGCCCTCTATATATTTCTCTCAAAAAACTTGTTTTTTCGGCATTCCAACATACACGAAGTTGGGGATTGAACGCGTATCAGCACTTTGATCTATTTCGAGTAAGCTCGATATGTTAGTCAGGAGCAAGGTATATTAATCAATAGTTAAACAAGTTTTTAAACTTACTAATAGATTAGAAAGTTTTGAATTAGTTTATACATTTTCTCCTCTTCCTTCCAAGGAAGGATATAAAACGATTTGAATTTCAACAAATTATCTCTTTTCATTTGAGTTCATGCGCACCAATTTTTACACTTTGATCTATGTCTATTCGAATACAGTGTTATGTTAATACTCTACATAAAAACATGCATTTCGATATTTTTTTCTTTTTGCAAAATAGTTAACTTGCTTAGCCCCCGGAATAACCAAAAGAACATTTTTGTGTTTTTTTAAGGGAAAACTTCTTGTGTTTAAATTCATTTTTCTGTCAGATTTCTCCGACAGATTCTTTTTGTTATTATTATTATCATTATTTTTAGACATGAATTTTTATTAAGTATATATGCCTTTGCTGCTAATTTGTCGTTGGAGTAGCTATTTGAATAAACAAAAATTAAACTTTTAAATTACTAAATCTGGGGATGCAAAACTTGATTCCAATGAGAAAATTTAAAAATTAAATAAATAAATAAAGAAGAAGATAGTTGTAATCGTAAACATTTATTTTATCTTGAGTAAATATTTCATAGAAAGTACAAAGAGAAAATGTGTTATTTCACCAATAAAGACGAAAAATTAGACCACTGGACCTACCAAAAGTCAGAAAACACATGCAATGATTTTTTTTTAATTGCTCCGGTGTTTTGTTTTGTTTAAAACACGAGCATTCACTACTTATCAACTATTGAATCTATATTACATTTTTAATTTAATCTAATATAGATTTAACGATGAATAAACATAAAATTATGATGTTTTTAAAAAAGAAAAAATATCAAAGAAAGTCTTTTTTTTAAAGCGAAAATTTAATCCACACAACAGCTCGTCAGGAAGCCAAAAAGTCATCAAAACTGACAAATCTAGTGATGACTTATTAGCATCAAGCAGCCTATAAGTCAGTCATCCCAATAAGTCATCAACTTCAAATTAGTGTTTTCAACACCACTCATCACGCCATATCTTTTTCCACCCCTCATTGCTATGAAATTTGAAGGGTGCAGAATTATGAAACTATTAAACAAAGAACAATCATTTTTGTTATATACATATCTGCTACTCGATTATGTTAGACCCGCTTAATTTGTCAATTTGAATTTTTAATTTAAGTGTAAGTGTGACTATAAAAAAAATTAAATTTGACTATTTCTGAAAATTTATTTAATTATTTATAAGAGTTTTAAATTATAATAAAATTAAAATTAAAAACTCAAATGGACTTCACTTAACGTACCAAATGCTGAAATTTCAATAGCTATGAATTAAAAAAACAGGAGTAGATGAAACAGATAGAAATGTAATTTGTCCAAAAAGATCACATTGGACCACTAGACCTACCAGAAACCAAGTCAAGTCTAAAATTTGGCATAAGGAAGAAAAACGTGCAGTGAAATTAAAACATCTAGTCCACACTGCAGCTATCAACTATTATCTGTTGACATAAGGAAGAAGCTGATTGGATATTCTTGCAAAGCCTTTTCTACACCACTCATTCAGCCAATATCTATTACTTGATCATCTCGAGCCAAGCAATTGTGTGATTTGTTAGCTTTGATTGTGAAGGGAGAACCAATGGCAGAGGTTATAGCTCTGGTGACCCCGGTTATGGAGGTGTTGCTTCAGCTACTAATGAAGGAAGCAAACTCCTTCAAGCGCCTTCATAGAGAAGTGAAGAGCCTAAAAGACGAATTGGAGTGTGTCCAGTGTTTTCTCAAAGATGCAGAGGAAAGGTCAGAGAAGGAAGACATGAGAGATGGCGTAAAAGTGTGGTTGAAACAAGTAAGGGAAGAAGCTTATCACATAGAAGATGTCATTGATTTATATATCCTGCATGTGGCGCAACACTGTCACTCGCGTGGAAAAGTTGTCATCTTGTGAAAAAGTTGTCACCATTGCCTCAAGAAATAGCTTGGCAACTATTTTGCGAAAAGGCATTCCGTTTTAAACTTGAGGGGCATTGCCCCCAAGAGTTGGAGACATTATCTCTTGAAATTGTGAGAAAATGCCAAGGTTTGCCTCTTGTGATTTCATCGGTAGCCGGTTTGTTGTCAACTAAGGAAAAAAATGTGTCCGAGTGGCAAAAGCTGAATGACACTCTTAATAGTTAGTTCCAAACAAATCCACACCTTTCAAGCATTTCAAAAATCCTCTCTCTTAGTTATGACAACCTTCCTTCCTATCTTAAACCTTGCTTCTTATATTTTGGCATATTTCCTCAAGGCCGTTTAATTACAGAGACAACATTGTATAGACATTGGATTGCTGAGGGTTTTATTGAAGAAAAGAGAGACAAGACATTGGAACAAGTTGCTGAAGAGTACCTTAATGAACTCATCCTAAGAAACTTGGTTCAAGTACAAGGTTTGCTTGGTGGTGATGGATCAGATAGGTTGTGTCAAGTGCATGATTTGATTCGTGACATAATTCTATCAAGAGCAGATGAATTGAATTTCTATCAAATTGTGGATGGAAAAATGTCCATTGTTCGAGGAAAGTGTCATTGCATATCTATCTACAATTATGAAAACGATTGCATGAAGGTGAATGAAGTATCGGGAGTTCGTTCGATTTTACTTTTCAATATCGATGGTCGACCAACAAACTTTCACTTGGATAGTTGGTTTGAAAAATACAAGCTTCTAAAGGTGTTGAATCTTAGAGACATTCCTATCGAACAGCTCCCCAAAGGATTAGGGTATTTGTTCCACCTAAAGTCCTGAGGAATACAAAGGTGAAGAGACTTCCAAAGTCCATTGGTAAACTCTAAAATCTACAGGTATTGGATCTCATGAATACTGCAGTGCGAGAGCTCCCAATCGAGATCAACAAGCTTCACAATCTACGACACATTTACGGATTTTATTATAAACACACAATCGGATTTTGTTTTGAGGAATTCCAAGGCCTCAGGATGCATGACGGAATTGGTTGTTTGAGGGAGTTACAGACACTTGAGTATCTTGAAGTAAGCAATGACAGAACTGGCATCATTACAGAGCTGGAAGGACTGAGGCAATTGAGAACTTTAGGCATTCTCAAATTCCCAGCGGAACTTGGAGCTGCCCTCTGTGCCTCTATTGTGAAAATGAATCATCTTGAACGCTTAGTTTTTATGTCGAATTCTGGAGATGAGATTCTATATTTACAAGCGATTTCATCACCACCTCTTTCTCTTAGGCTTCTCTGCTTCGTAGGCAGATTGTCAAAAATTTCGAACTGGATTTTGAAACTTTCCAATCTACACGTGCTGGCCTTCGCTTTCTCAAGCTTAAGTGATGATCCATTGAAACGCCTCCAAAGTTTGCCTAGTTTAGAGTATCTTTCTCTCTACAAGGCTTATGATGTCGGAAATTCACATTGAGGAAGGTGGATTTCCGAAGCTGAAATCACTTGAATTATGTGACTTGTACGAACTAAGAATGATCAAAATATGCAGAGGATCATTGCCTCATCTTGAAGAGCTAAGGATTGGAACTTGTCCACAACTGAAGGATGTGCCGTCCAACATTCAACACTTGAGAAACCTCAAAGTTGTCGAAATCTCTGAGATGCCGATGGAATTCGTGCTTGCTATGCAACCAGATGGAGACCAGTGTTGCTGGAAAGTTAAGCATGCACCAAATGTTTGGTCATATTATAAATTTGAAAGAGATAGGTTTGATGCCTTATAGGTTTGTGTTTTAGACTTAATTGCCTTCGTAGTTTTATCTTTCTTTTACTAAACTTTCTATTACATTTTGGCATAGTTTAGTTTTGAATCTTCACATTCAGCTACTTCATTTATGCAGTTGAGTAATACTGTTTCCTTTAGCAGGGTATTATTATTATTTTTTTATTATTTACATTCACTTTTTTTCGTTTGCTTAATTATTAATGATGCTTTGTTTTCTTTTTACTAAAAATATTCGTTTAAGAAGGAACTAAATAATATTCTGCTGATGACACATACCAAATATATAAAGCAGCGGCATTTGACATGCTTCTCCCTTAGACTTGGAGTTCTAGTTGCCATATTTGAACTAAATTGTTTTTTAGTCTATTTATTTATTTATTTGTTTTTTAGTCTATTTATTTATTTATCTGATGATGATTTTCACATTACATCACCCTTAGTAAACAACTAAATGCAGTGGACGTCAGATTCTAAGGATGCGTTTTTTAAGTCTATTTTTTTTTTTTTTTTCCCCTTTTCTACTACTTTGGTAAAAATTAAGATATGTCCATTTTTAATCTAGCATGACCTTAAGTTGCAACCTCCTATTCAGGAGATAAGATTTCATGTTAAGTGAACAACTAAGGAAGAAGACCAGAAGGAAACTAATTTGTAAAAACAAAAACTCCTTTGACTTCCAAAGGAAGGAAGGAGGTGTTTATCTCACAAAAGAAAAAGAAAACAACTGAGGAAATTAATTTATGTATTCAATAATAATAGAGTCAAATGTAAACGCTACAGCCTTCCAACTTTATAATTAATTCCTTAATTCTTTTCAGAACAAATTCCAAATCAAAACCTGTTCTCTTAGGTAATCAAGACGCGAAAAGAAAATTGATGGCAGAGTCTGCTGTTATTACCATTGTGACGCCCCTCCTATGAGGCCGCCACTGTAACTTAAACTTTAACTTGTACTTATTGGGGTTTCTTAAAATTTACGGAACATTTTTTTTTTAATATAAGAAAGAATACTTTCATAATTTGTAACAATAATTTCAAATAAGTGAATCACTAAATTTTTTAAAGCTTTTCTTAATTTCAGTTAAGATAAAACGTTCTAAAAATATCTTTCAAACAGAGCAGCATTTGAACTCTTATTTCAAATGCTCTTTAAAAGCCTTTCTAAAACTAGCCAATTCAATCGGGCCATTTAATTTTGACTTTAAAACGGATTTCGTGAGAAATCTTAAATTCAAGTACATCTTAAAGCCCTTTTAAAATCAATCATTTAAATCGTCATGTTTAAAATTTATTTATTTGTTGCATGCTCTATTGCAACGTTCTAAAACTTAAATACTCAAAACGAGGGTTGTTAGCTACAACCTCGGTTTCCTTAACATACATATGTACCTATACTTTTTAAACATACATGCTTGAAACCTTTAAATCATATATACATATACATGATTTTTCTTAAACTTACTGCGGAAGATAACTATGTGAGCGGTATCCATTCCCATCTCCACCATTCGTCCGCCGCTTGCCATTGCCCTTCAAGAATTGCTGATAGGTTTCTTACCTACAGCATGAACATATCTGATTGAGCTTTCGCTCAGCAAGTAGGAACTATATCTCACAAAATAACTGTAAGTACACATGAATAAATATGCATGAGCTGATTATGCTTAATTATGATGTCTTATCATAATCTTATTATCTTATCTTATCTTTCTTACTGATGGGCCCGAGTGCTCGCGTACCACTTGCGCGCAATCATCGGAACGTGAGGGTTTGCAAGGTCCCCCACGACACCGTGATTATAACTGGAATGCCTCCCTTGAGTCGGAGGACATTATTGTTATTTTCTGTTTCTCCCTTGTGGAGCATGAGTTACCTCCCTTGTGGAGGCTGGTACGGCACTCAACTGATAATTATTCTTATAAGTTCCTCTTGACTTATTAAGGTGTATGCAATATAGCATAGCAGAGCATACTATAACATGGAATGTACTCAAACACATATACTTCACGTGCACTGCTTAAGTGTATGCAGTATGATCTAGCATAGTATACATAA